CCTCTCTAAGTTGTCATCATAGTCCATTGAGACCAGATAATCAACACATGACAGAATTTCACCGGTCTTCCGAATCTTAATCCTTTCTGGAACTATATCCGAAATAAACGAGTTTTGTAAATATCAGAGAAGAAATCTAAACATATTCAAGAGTATGAAATCTCCATTATATTTCTAGTTACATCATCATATTTAACATTTATTCATGTATAAAAAATTGATCATAGAATTAAATCCCTTTTTTAACTGTTGAGTAACTGAGAGTACAACTAAGTTATCAGAGCGAATGGAGTGGGTTCAAACCCAGCCCCGAGGAATATCGAGTACTCTGGGGGAGTGAATGTGACCAGACTTCTATGTTTGTGGCGATAAATATGTTATGCATTGTATGTTGTATATCTATTCTTAAATTGACAACCTGAAGTACTAACAAGAGGCCAGCTTTTTAAAATAACGACGTAATATACAAGTAAAAGCAGATGCTTTTATGATACCAGATCGAGATGCTCAAATGGCTGCAGTTCAATACAAAATACGCGAGAAAGGCAGGAAAGAGAAGGAATACACGCGTAGGGCAGGCGAAATGTAGTATTTTAAGATATCTCGTTGATACTACTAGTTATACATTTGAATAATTCTGTGTTAGTAAATTTTAGCAGTGAACAGTATAGTTACCTCCTCCAAGTTCATACACTGATTTGCCATCCTTCCATGTTCGTCCTGTGCAGTGACCCAATCAATAGGCCATCCGCAAATGCGAAGACCTGGTATTCCTGAACATGGATCTGTTAAAAAAATCTCTATATGTGACTATGACTATTTAGTCGATAAAATGTTGATTTTAGCGTTAGTAGTTTTTAGAACTCATGTGTTGTCTACGCACAACAATTTAGTATTTTAATAACTGATATAATCTTCATTACGTTTATATTAAAATTTTCAATTATTAAACTTCATTCCTATTTCTTGTATATTTATCGAAAACATCAAAATAAATCGACAAATTCCGTCCTTTATGAGGCCTGTAAACAACATTAATTATGCGGTGCGACCTACCTTCCGATATCTCAAAAATAACAGCGACCATAAAGATCGACTTATGACATATTTAAAATCAATAAACGCTTTCAGCCGCATATAACCCCCACATGTGGTTTATCCACCATTGTATTGTACGAACGTATTTATTAGCGTGAGTGGTTTAGCATGCATGGGTGCGGCTGTGACTGAATATCGAGTAACTTACACGCTCACCGATTTAGTGATAATATTGTACATTTGTAGTATGATTGGGGGAAGGGTCGACAGGGTTGTTGTAATAGTAACGAGATGCTGCGTCCTTTCTAGTATGATCGTATTTATTAGCGTGAGAGGTTATGTGTGAATGGACGTGGCTGTCGAGGAATATCGAGCACTCCACAGGCCCGTCAAAAAAACCTTAGGATTAGTTTTATGGATGATTGGAATTTGTAAATACCGTTTGAATGTATTTATTCGCGAGAATGGAAGGAGGTCGGCAGGATTAGAACCATCATACCGACCTCCACTTTAGTTGTAATATTACGAAACTCGGTTTATTAGTATAAATGTGCATTATGAATGTGTGTGTATGTAAATGGTCAAATACTTCAATTTACCACATGTGGAGGGATACAAAGAGAAATGCGACAAAAACCGTAAGGTCCGATGAGTAGCAAAAAAACACTAATTATGCTGCTCCCTTAGGCAAAGTCAGTTTCTTTATTATAATCATTGGAGAATTTATCAAGAATTTTAAATTAATTAATTATTCGGATATCGAGAGATGCGGTCTGGTGTGATGTAGGTGTCAGAAAAACATTTTCTTTGTCGTGCCAACGTTTCGATCTTTATTGAGATCATCTTCAGGGCCTGGGATTTACAAACATTGTTTACATATAACAATTACATTTTGGATGTGGAAAAGTGACACCTTTTTCTGACACCTACATCACACCAGACCGCATCTCACGATATCCGAATAATTATCGATTAACGGTCACTAATCTCTACATATTTTGCATTGTATAAATTCACTTTTCCACATCCAAAATGTAATTGTTAATGTAAACAATGTTTGTAAATCCCAGGCCCTGAAGATGATCTCAATAAAGATCGAAACGTTGGCACGATAAAGAAAATGTTTTTCTGACACCTACATCACACCAGACCGCATCTCATGATATCCGAATAATTATCGATTAACGGTCACTAATCTCTACATATTTCAATTAATTTAATTAAAACATACAAACATAATAATAAATTCACTAGTTTCGTGGTCCGCTTGACCAATTAATATATTACAATTAATTAAGGTTTTCAGTTGAGATAAAAAAATGGCAAAAAGGAGAGAGAATTCAAAAGGTGTGGTTGAGATGGGAAGTTGATGTCCGAGTGGATCGAGGTCACGATAGGTCAAGTGGTAGAGCAGCGGCGTATCAAGCCAAAGATCGTCGGTTCGAATCCCGCTCGTGCCATTGACTTTTTTATCTCAACTGAAAACCTTAATTAATTGTATTAACTGAAAATTTTGCGTAGATATGAACAATTTTCACATGCGATTTACATTGAGTAGGATTGAACGAATTTAGACAGATCTTCATGATTATGTTTTATGAAAAACTTATTATTTTTAAATCATAAAAATTCAAAGTTTCTTACTTTTTTTTATAGTTCTTATTTATTTAGTGTTAAGGGGAGAGATAAAAAGAGTAAGAGAAATACGTAAAGAGAGTAGAGAGGTGGGCAGTAACAAAGGGAGAGGTTTCATATATACATATAGAGCCCAATGATCAATAATGACAGATTTAAATTTAACTAGTTCAAAGAGTTTTTTTATTTAATACCTATCAAAACTAATTTTATAATCAATTCATCTAACATTCTCACGGTTTGGAGAGCAACGGTTTCTTTTTGGACCTCTTCAGACTAAGTGTCAAGTAGAAAGCTTCCCCGGTATTTGTTTTGTTACTACTTTACACCCCATTAGGGCTGCTTTTGTTCTCTTCGCGGTAATTATGTTTCGGCTTGATAACATATTACATAATCCATACTTGCCGTTCGCCAATAAATTATCCTTATTAAAAAGGTGAGAGTGATGTATCGATTTTGATTGTCTAAGGTACCCGTCTAATAATCAATTTTCAACAATGGCTCTCTTAAAGTAAATAAAAAAATTCTATGTGATAAAATTGTTATCAAATAACAAACTAGACCGAATGATATATTACTATTGTTTTATTTAACTGATTAAGGTTTTTGGTTGAGATAAAAAAATCAATGTTACAGCGGGATTCGAACCCACGACTTTCGGTTAGTAGCCGCTGCTCTACACCTGAGCTATAGTAACTTCGATCCACTCAGACAATAACTTCCCATCTCAACCCCACCTTTTGAATTTTCCCTCCTTTTTGCTATATTTCAAATGTCGTGTAATCTATTTGATTCTCGGTGACAATCGAAATGGCCACGGAGAGCTTTAGAGAAGATATACTTCATTCTAATTTATTCAATTCACTAGTTTTCGTAGTCCGCTTGACCAATTAATCTCTTTCAATTAATTAAGGTTTTTAGTTGAGATAAAGTCAATGTCACGAGCGGAATTCGAACCCACGACCTTCGGCTTGATACGCCGCTTCTCTACACCGGCTCCACTCGGACAAATGAATTGTATCTTCACTAAAGTTCTCCGTGGCCCTTTCAACTGTCGCCGAGAATCAAGTAGATTACACGACATTTGAAAAATGGCCAAAAGGAGGGAAAATTCAAAAGGTTGGGTTGAGATGAGAAGTTAGTGTCCGAGTGGATCGAGGTCACGATAGCTCAAGTGGTAGAGCAGCGGCGTATCAAGCCGAAGATCGTGGGTTCGAATCCTGCTCGTGCCATTGACTTTTTATCTCAACTAAAAACCTTAATTAATTATCTTGTATAACCTTGAAATACATGCACAACAAAGATTGAAAAACATATTTAAAAACTAAATTATTTAAAATAGTTTATTTTCTCGGCTCCTAGGACCATTTGGCAAGAATGATCCCACATACGTAGATCCTGTCCTTGTTAGAAAAAAAGAAAAATAAAATACATCGACATGAAAAACATTCGTTCTTTTCCCATCGAAGTGGCAAAGAGATGTTTAAAAACAAGCACCAAGCACGCACAAGTGTGGCAAGTTCACTAATATCGTCATCATACCGTTTTTTAATCTGGATTTAATAAATCAATATAAACTGCTGAAAAATGAATAGAGATATGTGTCATTTATTCCTATTTTAGTAATAATTAACCGATATTTATGTTTAATTAAGAATTAGAATAAAGAATAAAAAATTCTTAATTTAATTAAGAAATTAAGAATAGAAAGATAAAAAATAAACATTTCATTGCTTCAGAATTCAAATGAGACTGAATAAACATTTTAAATTTCTTAAAAACTAAACATTGAAAAATCTTTATCCTTGATTTAGATTAAGGATTAAGTTTAGTTACCTCTAATTGATATTCCCAAATTAAAACAGAATAATAAAACAAATATTTATTGATTCTCGTTAAGTGGATTAAGTTTTCAATAGTATTTTCAAAAAAATTTGGGAACAAGTTGAATTTATCCTTCTCTTTTTCCCTCCTTCCCTCCCCGTCAGAGAGAGAGAGAGAGAGAGAGAGAGAGAGAGAGAGAGAGAGAGAGAGAAAGACAGACAGACAGACAGACAGAGGCAGAGTGTGAGTGATAGAAAGTAAAAGAGGGAGAGAGAAAGAAAGGAGTGAAACAAACGAGGAGCAAAACAGAGAGGGTGTTCGTTTATTATGATTATTTTTCTAGTGCTTGTGCCCACTTTTTTACGAATGAATAATAGTAATAATCTCAAACACATTTAACCCAAATTGTATTTCTTCTGTTTTGGAATGGAACAAGAAATGTGCGTGTTTTGCCCCTGTGCCGTGTTTACAAACTGAGGGGATGCCCCGATCTTGCATAACCAGTCGTGTGTGAAAGTGGTGGCGAACTATATAAATCCGCCGCGGCCTTCTCCAGCATCAGAACAAGCCTTCCAAAGCCGAAGAGCAAGATGAAAACCATTGTAAGCGAAGCAATGTCTCATCTTGGTGGATAAACTAGAAATACAACAATCTTAAGCGGTTTTTTTTTCTTACAGCTTCTCACCCTCGCTCTCGCATCATGCGCATTCGGCGACTTTCAAGAAGGCAAGGTCCAGGAAAAAAGGCACGTGGATCCACATGGAGGATACGGTGAAGGGGACGAAGGCGGATATGTCTCAGGAGGATTAAACGTAGTGCCAGCGTGAGTATTGAGTCGCAACCAATTAAAATAATAAGTTTTATTAGCTTTATTAGTCAAAAAAATAATAATTCATTTTCTCATGGGTTTATTTAATGATTATTTGTACGTTTTAGACCTCAACTTGTTGCCCAGCACGTCGAAGTGGAGAGAGTAGTACCTGTCGTCCACTACCACCAGGTACCATTCAGCGTACCTCATCCAGTCGCCGTACCCGTACACGTACCGGTCCACGTACCCCAGCCTTTGCCCGTTCACGTTCCGGTCCCCGTGCCCGTCTACAAGACCGTCGAGGTCCCCGTCGAAAAGCCAGTCCCGTACCCGGTTGAGAAGCCGGTCCCTGTCCACGTTTACAAAAAGGTCCCTGTACCATTCCCCAAGCCGTACCCGGTACCCGTTCCAGTCTACAAGACCAAACACGTCTACCACGAAGTCTTCCACGGCAAGAGCCACGGATGGTGATCATAATTAAATTATTTATAAACAATTTCTAGTTCAATCCTGTACCTCAAAGCCTGTAAATATTTTTTTATACTTTTTTATACGAAATAAATACTTTTTTTAAGAAAATAAATATGTTTTAGTTTTTGCAAAACCTTCACTCCAACACCTTTACAATTAAGCTTACAATACTTTACTATAAATATCTATAATTGTGAAAGATTGATTGTTGAATTAAAAAATGCCCAAAAAGTAAAAAAGCGTATATACTGCATACCTTGTAAAGCAGCCATCATAGTTCATCAACTAAGTTCAAACATCATTAGCTCAAATATGATGCTGAATTACTAAACCAAGCAAATTATGTAGGCAAAATAAAATTACTGTCTGCTGGATCCCATGACATGCACGGTTAGAGGGAAACGAGATAGTGGACGCCCATGCAACGAAGAAATGCATTAAAGAAAGCAGGAAAAAGCTTCGAATCTTAACAGGACACTGCAAACTAAATTGGTCTTTGTACTTGAAGGAAATAGAAAAGAATCAGAAATACTTCATCAAGAAACTGCTCTGCCTGCCAATTAGCACCCGAGACTACATCTTATATATTGAATGCTCGGTCACACAACTCTACAGTGACACTTTGAGCCTGCATTTGAAATATATAAGGAAAGTACTGAATCACACACCTGACAGACTGACGCAGTTTTTGGCCGACGTACTAATAAATAAAGGCATATTATGGCACAAGCAGCTGTCAGAGTTAGGTAGGCTGTGCGGTGTAGGAGTAAGTAGGGAAGAACTGAAGTCCTCTAATACCACGGACCTGATAAAAAATGGGAGGAGAGCAAAAGGAAAGACCTGGTAACCCGTGCGAGAAACAGCTTACATGACAACTTGTACGCAAGACTGGATTTTAACTTAGGGCGAAACTACATGGATTGCTCTAATATGACAGCCTGTGAGGTGTCTCGGTCTTGTGGGCGAGGGGTGAATTGCTTCAGCTGAACTGCTAACCGTGGAGACAGGACCGCGCCATCATTTACTCCTTATGTAACCTCAACGTCCCAGAGGACACTCTCCCCTTCATAGCAGTGTGCCCCGTTCTGAGAGAGTTCCGCCAAAGGTACTTTGGGAAACTGAAGCTGGATGTAGAAGAAGTCATTGCGATCCTTAACGGAAGGGATAACTGGAGGAAGCTTGTGGTCCTCACTCACGCCCTGCGGTACCGAAAATACCTTGACCACTTAAATTTTTAAAATCAAAGGTCGTTCTAAAGATACAAAAATAGGGATTCATTCAAGATTCAAAAATTCATAAAGCAACTCGACAAACGGCAAAGGCCATTGTCAATTTAGCTTTTTTTTGGAAATGTAAAGCTAATGTAAATACTTTGTGTAAATAAAGCCTTTATTAATTCATTCAAATTAGTCTTTGAAGAAGATCGGTATAATTTGACACAAGAATTCTGCAAGGAAGCGTATGGGACATAAACACACCTACTAACAAACAGTTAACCCACTAAAACAAATTGCTACATTTGTCAGCAGGAAGAAATGTTTTAAGATATATAACGCAACCGTAGAAGACATTGTACCACAGAAACCTATTAATTACATTGAACTAAGACACCGGCGTGCTATAGATATAGAACTAGGTACAATAGCTCTCAAAAACCGCATTACATATGCCTCAACAGTTATTCAGATATCGAGAGATGCGATCGGGTGTGATGTAGGTTTCAGAAAAACATTTTCTTTATCATGCCAACGTTTCGATCTTTTATTGAGATCATCTTCAGGGCTCAAAGTGTTTGTCTTCTGTGTAATTGTGCCATCCTTGCGTGTCGTGTGAGAGTGCCTTGAAGATGATCTCAATAAAAGATCGAAACGTTGGCACGATAAAGAAAATGTTTTTCTGAAACCTACATCACACCAGACCGCATCTCACGATATCTGAATAACTATCGATTAACGGTCACTAATCTCTACACATATACCTCAACCTTTCATTTTAACTGTTGAAGAATCATGTACATTGGAGTATCGATTTGAAAGAAATTATTTTTGAGAAAGTTTTTTTGTTCAAACAGTTAAAGCTACCTAGAACAAGTCGATATGTTGATGAAAATTAGAATGGCCCATATCGATAAACAGATTGTAAAAACAAAGACTTGCTTAAAAGGGTAGAGAAAAGGAGAATCGAACGATAAATGGGTGTTGATTCGTTCTGGACCAAAACCGCTTCTACCACACATCAAAAATATTTTTAATAAGGTTTTTTATTAAACAATCGAACATTGTGATCATCGGATTTTGTTTTTGAGAATTGTTTTTAAAATATATTTGTTTTGATTAACGCATATTAAAACGGGGTAATAAGTAAGTTATGGCAAAATAACAATAAAATATAAGCAAAAGTTTTAAAGAGTGGAGACAGACTAATACTTTGATTGTACGATTTTTTCTAAGTCACTCCCACTGTCATTATAACTAGTTAGAAGATCTCTAGGTCATAGACTCTTCAGTCTGTAGGCTTGGATGGATGGATGAAAGTTTTTCAAGAAATATACTGATAGGAAGATTTTCGTTGAATTTACGGTAACGGGATAGGATTACTTCTTGGTCAAAGGTAAAATTTAAATTTTTGAGTCAAGTTTGATTAAAGTTTTGTCGGGCGATGATAAGTTGGATCTTTTGTCAAGTAGTGAAAAGAATTTGTGTCGTTATATTAGTTTTTTTTAATATTAATTAGTTTATATTAGTTTTAAGCGTGGATTTAACATCAGTCATTTGTCATCTTATGTCCTTAGGTATCGCACTTCGTCCGCAGTAGGAAGAGGGAAGGTTACTGAAGTATAATGGAGGACTCATTTTGATACGAAGGGTAAAGGAACAGGTGTTATTGAAGGTTTCGAGAGAAATCCACAAAATTCGAGTGAGTTGAGGATCGCTCTATCGTCTACCGTCTAAGGTCAAGGAGATAGGAAGGCGTGCATAAGATATAATTGTATATAAGTAATATAAAAAATAATAAACAAGTCTTACAGAGAAAGAGAAAAAGAGAAACCACCACCAACCACATACCGACACCAAACTATATAGAAGTCTACTGCGATGGTAAAGGGTACAACTTTACCACCGGACGTTGAATGGCACCACTACTGAGTTTCACTCGAGTCACCCTTATGACCCCGTCCTATCCGGGAAAAACCTCCATGATCCGTCCTAATGGCCAACTCAATGGGGGAGTCGATCCGGCCCGGAGGACCCAAATGTCTGATCAAGTGGACTGTGGATGGATGTTTAATGGATTTAAAATTAAACTAAAATAAAATAAATTATAAAATTAACAAAACACTCACCTCCGGTGACGATAGTCCAGCTACCTCAACTGAGGTAAAGGGGGATGCAAAGAGGATAATAGTCGGAAAAGACAGGAAAAGTCGGGACGGGGACTTCACCACGTAGATGTCTCAGGAACTTCACCAATCGGAACGATGACGACGATAAATTCATAAAATTAAGACAATAAACAAAATAAAATAAACTTCAAACTGGATCACGACTTGTATAAAATTACAAATTGCCAAAGACGACGACACAACGAATAATAATCTATATAATTATATAATATATTATATAATATAATATATTATATTATATTATTACTATATTATCTATATAATTATAATCTATATATAGTACTCACAGATTCGTTCACAGCTGAATGTACATTGGGTTATATCATTATTTACTTTACAAAACAATTGTAGGACATCAAATAAACGTAGTAATTTTATTTATCTTAACACAAAAAACACCCAAAAAATTAAATTGTTCCTTTATCATGATTATTAAAATAATAGAAAAGAAATTACCGTGTTCGAACGATAATATGATTGTGTCATAGAAAGTCCTTTAATATTTTGTATGTCCTCCTTTGGCTTTCAAAACTGCATCCGTCCTTCTGGGCATACTTCTCACGAGATTTCTGTACTGTTCTGGATCAATTAGGTCCTATTCGACGTGTGTTTTTTCCCAAGTTGATCGAAGTTTGAAGCGTCTTGCACAATCGGCTGAAGATATTTTTAGTGTTCCCCACAAGTGCTCAATTGGATTAAGGTTAGGTGACTGTGGGGGCCATTCCATGACATTAAAACCACGATCAGCAAGCCACTCTTTGGTCAGCAATGGTTTCCTCACTTCCCGTCGCTCTTAATCCGGCCTCAGCAAACATCACCGTTTGTTACAGCACTGACATCCATATTATCATTATCATGCGGCCTACTCTGAATTTGGACAGCGTTATCAACCTGTCCTGATCGAACGGAGCGCGTAGATACAACGCCTTTTGGCCTCGGAAAATTTTGTTTTATGACCACTCCTCTTCTTTTTAAAACAACTGTCGTAAATCCCGGAAGATCTTTCAGGTTTTATTATTACCCCAATAATAACAATTTATATTTTGTTGAAATTTCACCATAAGGAAGTCCTACTTGTAGAGATTTTATTATTTTATCTTTCAAAAATGTTGAAAATGGCTTCATACTGTAATTAAACGGAATAGATCATAACCATTAAGGAAAGGAAATATTTTCAATATGTAAGAAAAATAACTAAATTGATGATACCTGATAACAAATTTGAGACGAATTATTGAATGGTTTTTGCGAAATTTGCAATGAAGTAACCCGAGTTACAAAACTGTTCACATGAAGACTCGTAATATACTGGCTCAATTCAAAGGTATAAACATAAATAAAGATTATTATATATATATATATATATATATATATAAAGAGGGAGAAGAAGAAGAAAGAGTCGGAGAGTCGAGAGTGGGGAGAAAGTAGTAAAAGAAATGAAGGAAAAGACAGAGGGAAAGGGAGAGGGAGAGAAAGTGAGATAGTAAGTTAAAGTGGGGTGGAGAAAGAAAAGAGTGTAAAAAATAGAGAATGAGTGTGTGCGAGAAAGAGGGAGAGAGATAGATTAATAATAGATAAAATGAGAAAAAAGTGA